GCCTGGAGAATTCCATGGACAGAGAAGCCTGGCGGGCTATAGTCCATAGGGTCACACAGAGTTGGACACGACTGAAGTGACTGAGCACACACTCAGGCAGACACACACATCAGGATGCCCCATGTTGTTGGATTACACTCACTGCTACACCCACAACAGAGCTAAGGATCCTCTCAGGGAACCTCTGGAGAAAACCAAGACAGGAATCAGGATGAGAAAATAGGAAATATTCCATAGGAAACCTAACTGCAGGCATAGACAGTCTGTATTTTAAAGCTAATAATTTATGTTTTCCTTGTGATAGCAATTCTACATTTTATTTAGCATAGCAATCACCCCAATTGATTTATAAAAGCAAAATTGCCTAATCAATGGACTAGAAATACAGTCACTGTGAATATAAATTCTTTCCTCTTCTAATGATCCCAGGCTAATCATTGCAGTTCTTCTGGCTCGTTTTCCTGATTAAACCAGGAAAATAAAGACAACAGGAACATGTGACTCCTGCATTAGCAAGCTAAGCCACGAAGCACGAGAAGAAACCAGTGGGTGAAAGGGGGCTAGTGAGACTTGTATAATCCATTCTGGGGCACACGCCTTACCTAATATTTACTATATTGATATTGTAGAAGGAAATGGCAACCCACCCCAGTATTCTTGCCCAGAGAATCCCAGGGACGGGGGAGCCTGGTGGGCTGCCGTCTACGGGGTTGCACAGAGTTGGACACGACTGCAGTGACTTAGCAGCAGCAGCAGCTATATTGATAGCCGCCTCCCCAACTGCCAAAGTATTACTCTTAAATATTGGAAAAAAAGTGGTGGGGATTTAGGGTTAGCAGATCTAAATTTAAGTAGAGGCTTCTCTTAGTAACTATATACAGTAAGTCCCCTATGTATGAATGAATTCCATTCTGAGTGTGTTCATAAATCCAATTTGTTTGTAAGTCAACAAAGTTAGCCTAGGTACCCAACTAACACAATTAGTATAGTACTATACTGTAATAGGTTTATAATACTTTTCACACAAATAATATATACAAAAAAACACAAAAAGTAAAGAAAACATTTGTAATCTGACAGTACAGTACCTTGAAAAGTATAGTAGCACAGTATAGCAACTGGTATACGGGGCTGGCACTCACATTAGCATCTTTGGAATTTTGCAACTTGAAGGTCTTACAGACTGGTGGCACAGTCTGTAAAGAATCCACCTGCAATGCAGGAGACTTGAGTTCGATTCCTGGGTCCGAAAGACCCCCTGGAGAAAGAAATGGCAACCTTTCTGGCACTCGTGCCTGGAGAATCCCATGAGATTGCGGAGTCGGACATGATTGAGCAACTAAACCATGCAGGGGACTTACTGAAATTTGAAGCAATTCTCTAGACTTCTCTGCCTCAGTTTTCTGTCCTGTAAGAGGGTTTCCAGTGCTTTTGTTTTCTAGGCTGTCATGAGAAAGAAGCCAATGACGTGAGAGAGGCCAAAGCCTTTGTCAGTCATAAGGTATTCTATCGGTGATCAGCAGAATAACTTTTTCTCTTGCTCAGTTTACAACGACGTGCCTGTTTACATGACAGCATCCTTGTTTAAATCCAGCGGTGTTCTGCCCCAAGTGCCCCTCTCTCTAACTGTATTCAGGCAATAGAAAAACTCTGCTGATTTTCCTCCTGTAATCCCAGGTCCCGCGTGCTGGTCTCTTCAACACAATGTTGATGCGTGTTGGCTCAGACAGTGGAAGATCCTCACTGTTCAGTGGCTGATAGGGAGGCTGAGTGTCCATGGTTGAGCTGAGCTGACCAGAGGGCACTTCCCCACCCCAGGTTGGAGACAACTCTGTGCAAAGAACCTGAGCTTTTCAGCAAAGTGAGGCATCCACCTGTGACATCCTGAGTGACAGGCCAATGCAAGTCACTGCAGCAGCAGCATAGAGGGAGGGGCAGCTTGTTAGGATGAGAGTCCTGACACTTCACTTACTCCCCGCCCTTTTCCTTTCTTTCTTTTTTCATCAAAATCAGAATCTTTCTTTATGGTTTCTACTTTTGCCCAAGGTAGACTCTTTTAAAACAATGTTATTGGCATATAGTTGATTTACAATGTTGTATTAGTGTCAGGCATACAGCAAAGTAAATCAGTTTCATATATGTATACAACCTATATATGGTTCAGTCCTGGGTCGGGAAGATCCTGTGGAGGAGGGCATGTTAACCCACTCCAGTACTTTTGCCTGGAGAAGCCCATGGACAGAGGAGCCTGGCAGGCTGCAGTCTGCTGCATCGCACAGAGCTGTACACAACTGAAGCAACTTAACATGCACACATGTATATATATATATACATATATATATATTACATATATATGTACATATATATGTATATATATGCACACACACATATATCATATTGTATATATATTGTATATGTATGTATATATATGTATGTATATATATTGTATATATATTATATTGTATATATATATATATATATATACACACATATATATATGTACATATATAGGCTTCCCAGGTGGCGCTAGTGGTAAAGAACCCATCTGCCAATGCAGGGAGACATAAAAGACATGGGTTTGATCCCTGGGTCAGGAAGATCCCCTGGAGAAGGGCAAGGCAACCCACTCCAGTATTCTTGCCTGGAGAATCCTGATGGCCAGAGAAGCCTAGTGGTCTACAGTCTATAGGGTTACAAAGAGTCGGACATGAGTGAAGTAAACTAGCATACATACATTTTATATCTATCTATCTATATACACACACACATACAAATATGCATATATATATTCTTGCAGAATTTTTATTATTTTTCCTCTTTTTGCCAAAAGTTTTAAAAAATAATAATAAAAAATTCCAGATGGGACTCTCAGAGACAGCCCCCTCCCCAGGGACTGCCCCCACAAGCTTTCCAGTCACCTTCCTCCTGCATTCTTTGTCCCCACCAAACCATCCCAACCAGAACAGTGTGACTCACTCCTCCTGGCAGCGTCACAGCCCTGCTAGTATGCTGACAGTGGTAAAGCTGGCTGCTAGGAGTTCAGTCCTGAGATCACTCCCTTAGGGGCAGGTAGGCAAACAGGTTGAAAGTGAGCACACAGCTGCCAGCCTGTTGGCCACCGCCGACCCCTCCACGCTGGACTCACTCTGCCCTGACATCCAAGGGGACACACCTCTCTTTCTGGGCAGCTGTCCTCTCTGCTGCCTATGACCCCACAGGCTGAGACCATGCAGCCCCAGTGGGCACAAGTCCCGCAGGCTGCAGCACTATATGTGCCCTAGACTTGGGCACTGCAGCTGCAAGCTTCAGAGACTGACGCAGAGATCCAAGGTTATCGTCCACATCCAGACCACCCCTCGGCCACTATGTAGCAGCTACTTGTTTGGCTGGGATTGATCCTACCCCTGGCTCCAGGGAAGACCCCTAACTAGATGCCAGTCAGGGAAATCTTATCCCCTTGCTCTGGGATCGGCCAAGGTGTGGGCAGACCTAAGCCAATCAGAGCAGGCTATTCCTTTGGCCACATGATGTCAAGACCAAGCCAAGCAGAGACAAGCTTGGTGCTCTTTCTGGTCTATTCTAGGAGAGATGCGCCTGCTCTCTTTCCTCTTGGGTGTGAATAAGAAAGCACATCAACCATCTTATAATCTTGGGGGAAGCCTGTCTGAAGATAAAATGAACACAGGGAAGGTGGAGCTAAGAGAACCAGGGAGAGGTGAAGTACAAACCTGAAGTGAGTCAGACCTCAATCTGGTCTGCTGTGGATTCTTCAGTTACAAGAGCCAATAAGTTCCCCTTAGAGTTGAATCCTGTTTGAATAGATTGTTTTTGTGACTTTGCATTTGAAAGCATCATCACTGACAGAAGCATCATAACCTGGGACAGCCAGAGGAGGCGAAGAAAACTTGGAAAGTGGCCATAATGATTATTTACCTGTCAACTTGACTAGACCATGGTACCCAGTTATTTGGCCAAGTGAAGGGCAGTTCATCCACAGGCTCATCCAGTCCTGATGTTGCTGTGAAGGTACTTTTTGGATATGATTAGCACTGAAATCAGTAGACTATGAGTAAAGCAGGTTGCTCTCCATAATGTGGGTTGGCCTCATCCAATCAGGGGACGGCCTTAAAAGCCAAGACTGGGGTTTCCTGAAGAAGGAATTCTCAAGACGACAACAAAGATACTCTGCCTGACTTTCAGCCTGCCAAGCTCAGCCACCATGGTGACTTATAAATACATTTATTATAGCTCAAGGGAAAGCAGCCAGGCAGCAGCTCCCATGTGAATCATCCCACATGAAATTTTTAGCCCACACTGAAATAAGACAGTTTACAAGCCTCCTTCACTGTACCTTCCATGTTGTAGTACCATGGGTACTTCCAGTCTTGTCAGATCTGCCCGAAGTAGTCAGCCTCCTTAGGCATATAAACTCTGCCTTCTCTGCCTCTTGTGGCCTTCCAATTGGAACCAGAGGGAAGGGAGACTCACCCATAGCCGCCCCCCCCCCCCCCCCCCCCCGCCTCCAACCCCACTCCCATCAGCCTTGCAGGAAGGACTCTGCATTTCTCCTGGGACCTTTGACTTCCTAGCTCTGATCATGGACCTCAAGGCACATACCTGACCATGGCAGTTCTTCAAGGCAGGACAGAAATGTGACCCAGTGACCTGTAACTGCACCAAAGCCAGGAGAACCTGCTTCTAGACAAGGCTGCATCCTGAGGATGAGCCTGAGATTTACGGGAAAGTCTTGGATAAACACTTCATAGACAGCCAGAGAAAAGTTAATCAGTGATGTTATCCGGAAACTAGTCTCAGTCTTGATATTTTTAGAAATTAAACGTAAGGGGAAGTAAGTTCCTGAATTCATGACTAAGGTAAATCTTCTATGGGTAGAGGGATCCCAAGTTAGGTAAAAGTCAGCATCTTTCTGTTACTTTGGAGCTTACAGCACATGTTTGTGTACATAATTCTATGTTAGTTAATTTAGGATAAAACTGGCCTTAACCCTTGTTGCTAGAGAGAACCAGAATCAGAACTGAAGCATCTATAGATGTCTCCAAGCCACGCTCTCTCTGGCCCCTAGAATACAGTGGCCTTCCTTCCTTTACTCCCTCAGGGCCAAGGATGGATGGGACCAGTAGAAGCCAGGCAGAGGAGGGCCCTGACAACTTGCAGCAGAAGCCTGATGGGCAGAGTCTGTAGGCACAAGAATGGACAAAATGTTGGAAATCCATACTCCCATCGAGAGTGACAGGGGAGGGGTCCATGGAGTGGGGGCTTGGATAGAAAACTCTGGAGTCTGGGAAGGTTTCAATAGCCATTTAAAGAAGGACTATCAGGGACTTCCCTGGTGGCCCAGTGCATAAAAATCCACCTGCCAATGCAGGGAATCTGTGTTCCATCCCCGGTCAGGGAAGATTCCACATGCCGAGAAGCAATTTAGCCAGTGTGGCATGACTATCGAAGCCTGCATGCTCTAGGGCCCATGAGCCTCAACTACTGAGCCTCCAAGCTGCAACTACTGAAGCCCACGCACCTAGAGCCCACGCGCCACAACAAGAGAAGCCCCCACAACGAGAAGCCCGCACACCACAATTAGAGAGTAGCCCCCGCACTCTGCAACGAAAACCCAGCGTAGTCAAAATAAAGGACAATCAGAGGGATTCTAGAAATAGAGGACCCATGGGAAAGACCTGAGTGGTGAGGTCTCAGGTGCTGGCCGAAGGATGAGGGGATGAAGGGATCACTCTCCCCGCCCTCTGATACTCCCGGTTTTAGAATAATTAGACACTATGTTTATTATGTGACTATCCCAAGGAAACTTTATACATCACTTGGCCCTCACAAGAGACTTATGAAATAGGTACTATTTTTCTTGCCATTCTACAGATGAGGAGGCTGAGGTTTAGTGACATCTGGAAACTTGTCTGAGGGCACAGCCAAGTTGGGGTGGAGCCAGGTTTGGAATGAAGACAGTTATGTCTTTAACCACTTCGACCCGTTCTGAGTGGACTCTCACAGCAAAAGTATGGCTGTTGAAATTACCACTAACCAGCTTCTAAGACCACCCGGGAGCTGTAGGTGAGTCAGGCTGTCTTCCTCTCTCTCCCCCTGCCAGGAGGAGGTAGAAAGCTGGAGTGAGTGCAGCCAGCCCCCACTTTTGCCTTTTTTTAATCTTTTGGCCTCAGCCCGCAGCACTTGGGACCTTAGTTCCCAGACCAGGGATCGAACCTGCGGCCTCTGTATTGGAAGCGCAGAGTCCTAACTGGGCTCGGCGGTGTCTGCAGGATCCCGGTGCTTGCCCTTCGCCCCAGTCCCGTTGGCGGGCCCTGCTCTGTGACTGGCCCCACTCAGTTTCCTCCTTGGGAAAACCTTTCTGGGTAATTTCTCCTCATGTAAGCTAGCCCTGTTTTCACTGTATCTTCTAAACACATTTTTATGGTTCTTACTTTTCACCACAGTTTCCTCATTAACATTAGAGACCAAATGGATTCCTTTAACAGCTATTTACTGAGAGTTCAATATGCCACTTGCCATCATGACACATTTATTATGTGCCAGACATCATAGTATGCATCTTATATACTCCTGTCAATTCGTGCCCTCAACAACTCCACGAGGGAAGTAATATCCTTAACCCATTTCACAGATAATTAAATGGAGGTTGGAGGGTTAAATCCTAAAGGTTAAAAACAGTTGGAGCTGGAATTTTAGCTTAAACAGTCTGATTCCAGAGCCCACATACTTTACCATGAAATAGATTTATGGAGAGAAAGAATAAGTGAAGCGAGTGAATGAATGGATGACTCTGACCGATGTTGGTTCTTCTCCTGTGATTCTTCCTCTCCAAGCTCTCATTCTTGCACACACCATCTCTTTTCGTTTACTGCTTGCAATTCAAGTCGTCCACCTAATTCCACTGAAGTCTTCAAAACCCTCAGCAAACATGCAGACCAACGATGATCAGTGCAGTCTGGTACCGGGCTGACACTCAACTCAGGCAATGTTGGTCCCAGAGACCCTGAACGAGTTCCTTCCAGGGATACAAAAAGTTCATGATTACTGAAGGCTTACTTATGGACCTAAAGGACCATGTGCAGAAAAGTGTAATTTATAATACATGGACATAAAATGATTTTTAAAAAATAAATCCAACAATTTTACTGAAGTCAAAGTTCAATGTAGGTGTGTTTTTTAAATTTTTCATCATACATCATTTTTATTGATTATCTTAAAAGAATACAATAGGTTCCATCACATCCTCACTCCCTCAGGTCTCCCCTCACCCACCTGCCACCAACCACACAAATACCGTCTTTGCTTTTAAAGCCATACATAGACGGAGGGAGACCATTTTGGTGGGTTTTAGGTAGGCTGACCCTTCAGTAAACAAATCTGAGCAGATAACCTCTTAAGGAAAATATTCATTCCCTTTATTTGTAGTCTATAATTTTATTTCATTTTATTTTCAATATAATGATATATCCCCCAAAGTGTTGATAAGTTCACAAATCACCTCATGCTAAGCTTTACACCCAGGCTGTCCCAAGTACAGGACTCCTGGGATTCTGGCCTAGGAGAGCAGATGTATCTTCTATGGGACAGCAGGGGGAGCCGCTTCTCACCAGTGTTTCGAAACTGCTGTGACCCCCTTTCATGATATAACCAGAAGTCGACTTTTTTTTAAAGTTTTTTCTGTTGTGGACCATTTTTAAAGTCTTCATTGAATTCATTATGATATTCTTTCTGTTTCATGTTTTGGTTTTTTGGCTTTGAGGTATGTGGAACGTTAGCTCCCCGACCTGGGATCAAACTTGCACCCACCCCTTGCTTTGGAAAGGGAAATCTTAGCCACTGGACACCAGGGAAGTTCCGTTTTTAGTGGTACATTCTCACTGCACCCAAGTACCTAATGCCTAGCACACACACCCGGTGCTGTCTCAAATCCGGCTGACATGAAAAATGCTATCATAGGGACTATCCAGTTTAATTCCTTAACCCTTTTTGAGGTAAGTGCATGGTCATTTTAAAAATTCCAAAATAGAAACACTAAATTAACTGAATTACCTGAAATAACCACACAAAGCCCAAGGTATCTGGAGACTCTCTGACCTTTATTCACTGTTCTTGCGTACCTGGGATAGAACTGGACAATTCTGAGGTGTGTTTTCACAAAAACTTGCATTTGTATCTCTCAGCATAGTTTCCCCTCAAAGAGCTTTGTGAAGGAGCAGAGCAGGCTGTGAGTACAGTGCTGCTGTATCAAGACAAACAGGCTCCAGTCAGAATAACTTCCTAGGAATTGAATTTCCACCGAAAAGGCTTCCAGGTTCCTCGATAAAATATATAAGGAGTGGACTGTTTTGTATGATTTCCATCTCAAGCTTCTGTAATGGTTTTTGTGCCTGTTATCTAGAAAGAAAAATATGTTGATGAAGGAAGTCTTTTAGTAGGGTTGTGTCTAGGTATTCTCAAGCCTGGAGCAAGGATTTATTTTTTTTTTAAGATTCCCGTCCATCTACTGCAATCCCCTTTTAAACAATGACTGAAAATGTTAAACAACTCTTAGATCACAGTGAAATTCCTAGGCCCCCCGCTCCAAGGCTAGTAATGAACAGTCATTTTGTTAAAAGGATGGGCTCATGCTTATTATTATTATTTTGGAAGATACTGCTAGAGTATTAAATTCAATAATTAACAAAAATTAGAAGTTAATTAATTGGTGGCACCTCAAGGACCCACTAGTAGAAAAAATTTTTTTCTAAGTTTTTCTCTAAAAAGACAACTCCCCTTCAGCAGTTGTTCCAGACTTTATCTGGCTTGCTAGTACCCATAGGAGCACAGCCTGGGATTTACTTACTAAATACATTTGTATTAACGTGCGCCGTGCATCAGTGTTTTTTGCTAATACAGTTGCCCCTTAAGCATGAGTGCTTACTCCACCAGCATGGAACATTTGCCTTATTATAGCCACAGTCTTAAAAAAAAAAAAAAAAGGCAGCATCATGATTTCCAAAAAGGGAGTGACATTTGGGGCCGCTCCTGTCATGCGCCATCTCCAACTTAAGACAAATCCACCCTGTAAGGCTTGGCCCGCGCCAAGGACCCTCGCAGGAGGCAGGCACGGCTGTTTCCGACGCGCGTTTGATCTTTTCTGGGCAGCCGAGGGCTCGCCACACCCCTGGGCTGGCTCCTGGATCGCTTGTTCGGCCTCGCTCAGCAGGAGCCAGACCTTTTACTTTATTTGGTCCACCACGCGGTGACCGTCCAGGGAGCGCGCTGGCGGCGACGCACGGCCTCGCGCCCGCACATTCCTCCCAGGAACGCCGGCGGGGGGCGCGAGGGATCAGGCTCGGCAGGGATCAAGGCCGCGGCTCCCCTCTAATTATAGCCGAGGCATCTGGCTCGCCCGTGGGCCTGGCGTTCAGTGCGGGATGGGACAGGGCGGCCTTGCGGGGCGGGCGCGCCGCCTCTGCTTCCGGGCCCGGCCCCGCCCCGGCCCGGCCCCGCCCCCGGCCCCGGCCCCGCCCCCGGCCCCGCCCGCCGCCGGGTCCCGCTGCGGGGTCGCGCGGCTCCACGTGCGCAGATAGCGGTGCGGGGAGCAGGCGCTGTGCCTGTCTGTGCTGCCCGGGAAAAAGTTCTAGAATAAATAAATACGGGCGCGGCGTGAGTCAGGGTGCAGCACTGGAAACCACAGCAAGTCTCCTCGTGGGCGAAGGCCTTTACGCAGGCGGCTGGAGAGTCCGGGAGCCTCCGCCCCTTTCCTTCCCCTCGAGTAAACAGGGCTTGGCTGAACCAGCGGTTGTTTTCTTCCTTTTAAAAAACGCCATTCTGAGCAACCATAAAAAGTGAAAAAGATCTACAGTTTGACAGTTCCGACCTAGCTCCCGTATTTTCAACTAGCTTCTTGATTTGTATGAAGAAAATGGTGTCCCGTGGCCCCTTTCGGGCGTGATGGTTGCCCGCTGGACCTAATCAAAGCGCTTTGAATATAGGTTTGTGTTCCTATGTCAGAATTCCACCAAAGTTCCCGATGTAAGCTCCGGAAGAGAGTCGGTTCTCTATAGAATTTAGCTCTGACTATACTTTCCAACTTCTGGAAAGAAACCAGCTCACCGTTATGTCTTGTCGGTACGTGCCCTTCATCCAGAAAACACGCACCCTACCTGCGGCATCAACTCGAAACTCCAAGGACGGGGGGTGGGGGGGGTGGGCTACGGCCTCTCAGCTGTTCAAAGCCTAGAATGATGTGCCTCCTTAAAATAATAACAGCGACAGCCCATATGGTGCTTGTTAAGACAAAAGTATTCCAAAACTTCCC